TGTTTGCCTGTGAAATTTGATTAAGAGTTTAGATTTGGACTGAGTTTATCTGTTCCTACTCTGTATGACCCGGAACTGTTCCCTGTTTATAGTTTTTGGATTTTGGACATTGTTGGTAATAAACCTCTTGCTAATGGATGAGTCTCCACAGTTACAGTCGATATTGCTAGTACATCGGCCAGTGCTGCTATCTCTCTCAATCTGCTATCTCTCTCAGTATGCTTAAGGCTATACTTACCTGATACAGATCACCACCTTCTTATAACCTGGGAAAGTCTAGCTGCATGTCTCATGCTGCCTGGAGGAGCCCCATGTTTGTTAAAATAAGAGATTAAGTAAAGCAATATGGCTTGTAAAGCAGATTCAGTGGGCTTGAAGCACAGTCTGGGTGATTCAGATTGTTAAGATTGAAACTCCGGTTCAGGTTCCACGTCCTGCATCCACTTCCTGCATGGACAGAAGTATCTGGTCAACATGGGAGAGGTAGAGCTTGAGGGCAGCTTCATGAAAAATTAATTTCTTAACAAAACAATCATTACTGTTATAGCAAGATTTCCACTACCCTTACGAGGTAAGGTACAAAATATCCACACAAAAAAAAAACAATCTTATAACACATTTTATATCTCAAAAGTACAATCAAGGAATGAATAAGAGGCCAAGCATCAAAAATGATTACAAGAAAACCTGTGTAAAGAAGAAATGAAGCAAACAAGAAAACCTGTGGTAGTAAATGAACAACTATGTGGAGTATTTACAATGAGGCCATTCTGGTCTTCTTAATTCTGGTCCAGAGTCTCTATCTTCCTCCTCTTGTAGTTTTACACCATGAAGAAGGGCTGTGGGACAATCAGAGGTTACTATTACTTCATCTGAGTGTCTTTATCACCTGGATGTTTAAGCAGAGGTTTTCTCGATTGCGCCGCTCAGGAGTGAGCAAAAACTGCCAACAAGTTTAGTGAAACAAAAGCAGACAAACCAACCAGGCGTCACCTACTGGTGCTATGAAGTGTCTAAATAAGGTAGATATATACCAGGAAAGAAACATACAAAACATATTAGCTTAATAAAATACATCACACAATCTAACAGGTGGCAGAAACATCAGGATGGGGTCCATCATAATGCAGCACCTGGAGGGCAAAGGCTGGGCAATTATTTAATCACTGGCCTGAAAAAAAAATATGTTAGTCATCTTTCTTACTTTCATCTGTAAGAGCGTTAGTAGTTGCTCAAAGCTCAAAATGACTGAGTAACAAATGATCCAAAGATGCCAAACCTCTTATCTAATACCTCATCGCCTACTTGTACTGAGTTATGCACAGAAAAATTTACACTGATCTACCTTTTGATCCTTGGCACACTGCGCACTCCAAGCTGAAAAGTTTATATCAGGGACTCAAATAACAATTTCAAATATTAAAGTTAATTCTGAATTTTGCTGTGACCAATACTTTTGCAAAGATAGCTATAATTAGCAGAACACAACAAACTAACCGTACTCAAATAAAAGTGGAGATATCCAGCAAAAAAAATTTAAATCGAATAAACTGTTAAACTTTGATACGAAAACAAAGTTTAAATCTAATCTAAATTACATCTAAATTCTAAAATCTAGATTTGACTGTAAGGAACTTTGATGAATAAAGGCCATTGTCTCTTCTAGACCATTTGTCCAATTTGTGGTTGATCCTAAATTAAAAGAAGTGCAGTTAATAGGTCTAGTCTCTAGAGTCACATTTCATAGAAAGCACCATTTTATTTATTTATTTATTTAAAAAGGGATCACTGGCATCTTTGGCACAAAAAACAGCCTGACTGTCCTCACTGCATGCTGGATATTTAAATTGAGCAGAAGGTGCCCTGGACCTTCTGTTCAATCTGGATATATGTATTGGACATATTTTGAACCACAAATACACCAATGATGAGCATCAAGTGCCTGGTGATAAAGGTGAGATTTTCTATTTGCAGTATATCCTTGGATTTGCTCCTGTCCCACGTGGAATTGCCCATGACCAACCTCTCCATGCTGGATTAAGATCCTGAATGATTTATGAAGCACAAAGACATTTCTTCATTCAGTTTATTCCAACAGAGGCTCGTTTTATGTTTCTTGCTGTTGTGCCTCAGTCTCTGTAGACTAGAAAACTTTACGGCTGTAATAAAACTGACAATGTGTTTTCTTCATATCCTAGAAAATGCAGTCTGATCCACAAACTACCATAATCTGAAAGTTTATCACACCTCTGGGTTTGAAAGTTTGCATCTTATTTATGACTTTTATGGTGAAACACACAGAAAAGAACAGAACTCACAGGAAACAGAATACCAGTTTAATGAGCAGTGATCATAACAGCAGTCATAAAACCCCAGAAAATAAAATTATATTTATGCTGGGAAAGTCAGATTATTTTATAAATGGAAAGACAGAACACTCTTGTCTGAGTGGACTTTGGAGGCCAGTGTTATGGCAAATTAATTCACAAAATGTAATTAGTGATCAGTGTTTATTCACACTAGCACAAATAAGGCTATACGCTCAATTCACCTTCATGCCTGTTAAAAAAATTATCCCTTTTAAGTGAATGAAATATAAAAAAAAATCAATTCAGTGAATCCAGAGCAGGAAAGTAGAATCATAGTTTCTAGTGCAATATAGACTGTATTCTACATGTGAAATGAAACACATTAACTTCCTATTTCATCTCTAGTGACCTGCCTGCAGAGAATAACTCCTATAGTGAGCCTCAGCTGTTTCGAGTCTTGACTTCTAAGGCTTCAGAGCCACCGCAGCCCTGACCACTTAGTAAAGATGAATAAATGAAAT